AAATGTCTTGCGGTAAATGGGAAGACTAAGGTATAAATAATTTCGAATCTAAAAGTATAATATTATCTAGGGTCTATAGGAACCTGTATTTGAAAATGCAGTTTGGAAGACTGAAAATATTATTATACAGTAATATAATATTTTCAGTCTTCCAAACTTCAGAAAATATTATTATTATTATTATAATTCAGAAAATATTATTATTCAGTAATAAAATACTATATTCTGAAAATGCAGTTTGGAAGACAAAAGATACATACTAAGTCATACTGAATATGTAAAAAAATTAAAGTTTCATATAAAAGAAAAAACAAAATAAGTAAAGGCGAAAATACTAAATCTAAAGAGATTAAAGCTGCAGACGATATGATACATGACGAAATATATAGAGCTCAAGAAAGAGAAGAAGAAAGCAAATTCTCTAGATATGCAACTGAATTTTGAAACCGTTTCTCTCTGACTAAATTACTTAATTTAATATTGCTCTTTTCTCTCAAGAAATAGAAAGAAATAAAGAAATTTTTATTTAACTCTTGTCAAAGAGGGAAGTTTACATATGCTGCATTTGCTTTATTTTCCGAATAGCTAAGAAAATGTAATTCAATACGATGCGATTTTATTCAGAAGGCGAGTTTAAATGCCATAGAGAAAAAACAGAATTTAAATAAAGGTAGCAGAAAATATTTTGAAAGAATTTCGAAGTGAATCTCTATCCGAGACTGGACAGTAGTTGCGAAAGTTCCTTGGTAGCGAAACTGAAAATAAATCAGACAAAATGATCTCATTAAGTATAAAATATGTACGGTTTCAATACTATTAGGACATTAATTATGATAATTAATGAATTAACCATTATAATAAATTAATTTGATTTATTATATTATTTTAAATAACTTACATTCCAGTTAATTAAGAAATTTTAAATGCAATTTCTTCATAATGAATTAATTAGTTTCTATCTTATTAAGATACTAATGTCAACACTACTATTCTACGTTTCTGTGTTGCTTTGTTGAAAGACATAGTAAACGGTTACAGTTATGGACCAGCATATTAAATCAGTCTAAAAAGGAAAAAAAAGATTAACAGGTGTTCTTCTGTTTCTTGTACAAATTTTCTAATATTTTAAAAGTATATATATCCATTTTCTATTGAAACGTTCTTCTTCGCCTACTGAGACTTGTTTTTGCAAGAGTATAGTGTCATTCCACCTCAAAAATGAGATTTCTAAGAAGAAATATAATACGAATCTAAGAAATGGCGAAACCGGCCAATTTATTCTTCTTTCAAACATTTTCCCAAAACAAGATTTCTATGTTTTATACTTTCATTGGATTCCAGTAGGCATTACTATTTAATTCTGAAAGGATGTTGGCAAAATCATTTCATCGGAAATGACGGAAGGTTTTAGAAAATGTTTCTTTCTTGTGACTTTTTCGTGTTTTTCTTTTCCCAGAAAGACAGAGAGGCTAGTTCAATATTTTATTTGGTCAGCTTCGTTTTTTTTCTTTTGTAGATAGATGCGTACAGATAAACTTGAAAAGCCGGTGCTTTGGAAGATGTGTTTGAGCGGTTTCTCGATTAAGGAATATATTCCTGCTGTAATATTTAGAAATAATATTCATTGAGACTATGAAAATAATTAACAGGGGAAATGTTGCATTTCTACTGAAATTTGATTATAATTCAGAAGTGGTTTTTGTCTCGAAATCACTTCAACAATCTTATAGTGTTTTTCAAATTTTCGCAAATTTTTCTTTTTTTTTTAACTTTCGCTCTGTTTTGCATGTTCCAAGTGCCTATGCTTAAGAGCTGATTCCAGGAAAATATGCATAAATGCCTAACTTTGTGTCGGACGGTGAGACGGCAATCACCGTCCTACAGAAAAACAGGGTGCCCTATAAATTTGGACAATTTTCACAAAAACATATAAAATAAAGCGAATTGGCTTCCAGTGCTGTTTTCACCTACAGGCATCACAGAAGTGATAGGGTTATCTTTAGCTCTAATAGTTAAACTATATCTTTAGCTCAATGTTTTACGGTCAGATGGCTCGCACTGTTATTTTTGCGATATGAAAATTTAAATCCTTTATTATCTATATTTCAAATTTTGTATGCAGAATTGAATTATTTACTAACAAATACTAAATAACCTGTGATAATACATTCTATATTTACGTTTTAGTCCAAAAGATACTTATTACGAAAAATATGATAAGGCAATTCAAATATGAAATTTCATACGATATTTTAAATAGTAGTACATTTATGTCAAGTTTAGCAAACGTGATATAGATCGTAAAGGTTTAAAAGAGTTTCTCATTTTTCCTTTGTGCACGTTACACTGGGAAAAGGTTTAGTTGCAAAATGTAAAAAATAAATGCATTCCTAAAAACATCATGAGCAGAAAATGTTTATGAAATGTTAGAAAATATTCCTTACATAAGTGCAATTTAATAAAGATAATTGTAAATTCTGTACGATAGTTGAGTATATAAGTGTAAATTCTGTGCTATAGAGTATGAAGTACAGTGTAAAAACATATCATTTGCAAGTTCTCAGTTAAGTTTAATTTCAACTGTAAGTGGAGTAACAAATATACTGAAATTTCAATAGGAGTTTTATAAATCTTGAAGTTTGTTTTCAAAATCTTCTATTAAAACAATAACCAATGGTGCATAGTTTTTTCTGTTTATATGACTCAATCTACACAGAGCCCTAGAAGAAATTATATTGTTGTCTGGAATGTGAAATTGTCTCAGTTTTAGTTTAATTTCGAATCGACCTTTTAAACTCATTTATTATTTATTTGACTTTAGCCTCAAACGCATATTTGTTCATTTAAAGAAGTAAATATATGTATCAAATGTAATCTAAAATTGTTATAAAATAACATGACAAGTAAATGGTAATAACCTAATAAGAAGCAACAACAGAAGGCGCATATGAAACAATTTGAAGTATTAATAGTTTCGAAGGTTAAACTTAAAAAATTTAAGCTGAATACATGGAGGGGGGCGGAGGGAGCAAACAATCAAATTCAAGAACCTTCTAATCAAATGATAGGAAACAAATCCTATAATGCTCCCTATTGACCGAAACGGAAGAAATTCGAGGTTGTTTTTATAAGGTATTTCTCCCGCCTTCTTAGCATTCCTTCGTGGTGTAGTGGTCAGCACACTCGGTGTGTATTAGAGAGATCCGTGTTTCGAGTCTCGGCGAGGGCATAGCTCCTCTTTCATCTCTCCCGCTTTTAAAAAACACCTAATGTCTCTACATTTTAGAAAATGATAGGAAATGAAACTCCTAGCACTATCTAATGATCAAAACGGTTATATTTCCTGAAACGTTTCCATCCATAAAATTTTTAGATTAGTTTTAATGATACTAATGAATACTAATTCCTGTTTACCAAACCGCATTTAACAGTTTGCTTCAAAATGGGTTTTCTTTCCCGTTTTGGTCAATAGATGATGCTAGAAGTTCAACTTTCGATCATTTAGCTTGAACATTCTTGAATGTCTTTCCACTGTTACACGTAGGCCTGTTTTTTTTTTTTTTTCTTTTCAGTCATTTTCAATTCATCAGCTAAAACTAGCACTTGGTTAACCTTCGAAATTACAGTATAGCAGATTTAATCGCATTACACCAATTTTGCTAGTTTACTATAGGATCCTCTAGCATCAAACAACCAATTAATTAGAGCTTTGAGTGAAGACGACAGATGACAAAGTTTAAACTAGGGATTATAGTTTAGTTACCTGACGGTCAAGTACAGCGGCGTTTCATAGGATGTTAAAGCAGAACTTTAAATTCAACATTTGACTTTCCAGAAACAGTTTCTTTTGAGCTTTCCTTAACTACAAGTCCTAGTACTAAAATTTTAGTTTGATTATTACTTAAGTTGTGTTTTGATTGATTTACTTATGAGTTAGTAGACAAAAATGTGTAATCTTCTTCGCCCTGGCTTTTGGACACAATATTTTGCATTCAATAGAAGCCAATGGCTGCAGTCTATATTATTTATTAATATAATCTACGTTAATTTTAATACAGCCATTAAAGCATTTGGACGCAAATTGGTGTCAATATATGGTAAAATAAATATGAATTAATAACGTAAGTATGGTTCCTTTCGTGAAGGAGTTTGCTCATAAAAGATCATTTTTGAATTATCGCTTGAAAATGCATGAGAAAATGTATATAATCAAACTTCTTCACCCTTAATCTAACTTCTTAACGCAACTGACAGCATTTGGTCTATTTAACCATAGAGAAACTGTTTGACTATTAGTACCAAATACTATATGTTTTTTAATATGTATTATAATTCATTAAATAATAAGAAAGAAATCCATAAAAATAAAACTAATCAATAATAAAAGCAAATTTCATCGCAATCGTAATTATATATCCATCCATATTATCTTTAGAATGCGACGTCACAATGCAATGAAACTTATAAACAGAAGCCGCTTGAGTTGGACTGGGGCATTTCCTGAAGACTTCTACATAGTCTCTTATTAGCAGACTGTAAAATATTTCAGCTGCTTATTTCTGTGAATTATTACTAGATAATTATTAACATTTGTCGTTCTTAATTACTTCTAATTTTATGACTTGCTTACAAAGGGTAATTAAAAAGAAATAAAAGCTTGTGAAAGTTAAGGTGAATTTTCTTTGCAACTTTTTTTCCTTAATATCTTCGATATCCAGTATCATAAATAATTATTCCATACCAAGTAAATTAATTGTACTTTAGAATATTTTTACCACACACACAAAAAAAAGAGATACCAATAGGTTAGAGTATTCATCTTAAGGAAGAACACTTCATTAAGTAAGTATGTTAAAATTTAATTTATTTTCGCCTAGCGTCCTTAACCACCATTACGCCCAAGGTCAGTAGACAAACGAGGTCTTTCCATCACTGGAGTTCAGTGACATCACTTGATATACAGTAATAAGAGAAACGAAGCGACAAAGTGGGTAGGGAATAAATAGTTGCTTTTGGAGAAGAATATGAGTCGATGATGTCATGGAAGAGTAAACCTTTTAGTATGGTTGTACGTTTTACCTTGATTCTTTATTTGTGAGTTTAATTACTTTCCTATTCTTTCTTTTTAAGCTGAAGTTAGGATATAAATTTTAAAAGAATCCTTTTATTCGCTTATTAAATTTGTTTATTTCTAAATTTAATTTTACTTTACTCTCTACTTAGCAATAGCCGCAGGTATCTAAATTTTACGTTCGCGAACATACATTCCGAACAGAACATACATGTTTTCAAACCATTCAGCTTGTTCGCCAAAGTACTGAGTCCAAGAGTATTTCAATGAATTTTTCAATACATGATGTAAATAAGAGCAAATTAGAAAGTATTTGAGAAAAGAATTTCTTTAATTAGGCAAATAGCTATTGTTTGGTTTGCTTTATTCAAACATACAAATAACAAACTGCAAAATCCTATTTTTACTTTAACGGCCGAAAATCATTTATCTTCAAGAAATGTAATTTAATGTTTATCACTGAAAATATCATTAATTTGTAGAAAGCATTACTTTACATTAACGGTTGAGTACAACTAAAGCATAGAACGAAAAAGGGTTGAAAAGCACTAATCTAAACAAAGAATAAGATTTACCTTTCTATTAATTTTATATTTAGCTACTTTTTCTAATGAAAAAATTTTGAAAATATTTCTCATTCATTAAACCAGATTAGAGAACAAACAATCTAGAAAGAAAAATAAATGTTTTCGATGTTTATATTTTGTAGATATTCTAACTGTATTAGCATGAATTATTGCGCTATTATTATACAGGATGCGGCAGCGTTCATAGCATAATTTGACTTGCGTAGTACAATGACGTACTGCATGAATGCGCGCCAGCTCGTCCCGCATTCGTGTACTAATGAGCTGCCATTTCGAGTATAACAGTGATATGGATCGGTGGAGTGTACAGCATCGTGCTTTTGCTGTTGAAAGTTATTTCAAGAATAACTACTCTGTTATTGCTACTGGGCGTCTATTTCGGCAACATTTGAAACTGGGATGTCATGGGAAAGTTCCAGATGATGGACCATTGCGACAGACATTTCCAGGTGTAATTTCCCGTTTTGGTGACATTTCCTGTGCCGCCTCGCTCACCTGATCTTTCATGTGCAGACGTTTTCCTTTAGGGCCACCTGAAGCAAGAAGTTTTCCGAAAACGTTGTGCCACCATTCCTGAGTTGAAGGATTGTATCAGAACTGCCGTCGGCAATGTCCCAGGGAATACGTTACGCCGAGTTATGGTAAGCCTCCAACGCCGCCTAGATGAATGTGTTGTGCAGAGGGGGCATCATTTGACAGGCGTCATATTCAAAAAGTAATCCACGCAGTGGACAATGACTTACACATTAGTAAATGACATACCTTTAACTATTAACTGTCATAGGTAATAAATAAATTACAGTTACTGCCTTATGGTGTGTTTTTAATATCCTACTATGAACGCTGCCGCACCCTGTAGTATTTTAAAAGAAGGAAAGAAAAAGGTATTCGGAATATCTCATGCGCACCACGTTTGCTTTTCAAATTCCTAAATGTCAGAAATTCTGCGATGGCTTATAACAACATTATTTTTAATGCATATGCTCATTCTAGGTATTTTTCGATAAGCGAAACTACTTTTCTCTGTCTTTTCTAACTTGCGCTTTAAGAAATGCTTTATGGAGGAAAATAAGAATCTATGTCTAGACGTGTATTTTTCTTATCTTAAAGTATTTAATACTTAAGTGTTATTGACATTTCAGCTTCTGAAAAAGGAAACAGCTTGCACAGCAACGTCGCGTTTAACTCCGAAAAGCAACGTCGCGTTTAACTCCGAAATAAATTTTGTGCAAACAAATGTTCTTAAGACTCGTAATAAAAATTTAAGTAAAGACCCGAAATTTCAACCTCAGTGAACAGACAGAACCTCTTTGGTATGAATTTTATTAAATATATTTCTCTGCAGAAGAAAATTCTGTATGTATACTTCAGTAATTTCTTTTCTCAATGCAAAAGTTATGTTGGAAGAAAAGAAATTTTGTCTTTACCTTTCACGGTCCGTTAGAGGCGGATAATGCGTTCTCATTAAGCTGCTTAAAGTTTTCATATTGAAAGAACTTTTTAACACGAAATAAACTGAATTAGCAATCCGAGTAAATGGCATATAATTCTTGCAATACCTACACTTCTGGAGACAACCCAAGTTGATTCCTACGCATTCGGAAATGTTCTCTACTTCTAACGTTAGAGAGGAAAAAATTTCTAAAGCAACAATGGAAGAATTATGTTAAAAATATCTCATAGAAAGTAAACTTTAAAGGAAGTGCAATTTTATTTTTTGAAGAGTTTTTGATTCTATAGAATTTAATTTAATATACTGGAAACTATGCATCACGATATTTTAAGCTAAGAATATCCTAATAGCTGTTAAGAAATTTTCAGATTTTCTTATTTCAAAATTTTAATTATGTTATTTAATAGACTAAAGAAGTTTTGGTTTTGAAAATATTCATCGTGAATATTCTCTTCAAAACGTAGAGGTGAATTATCATGCCTTTTCATAAATTTATCTCAATCCAAAAATTATAATTTTTTGATCACCTACACCCAACTTCTTTAGTACATTAATCTCAAAACTCGCTTCCTCGGAAACAATTTTTTAGGGCTAATGAATAAATTTCAGTTATGCATTTGTTACAAATACAGTGTTAGAAAAATTGATTTTAGATATTTGAACTCCGAGTTTACGTTATTTTAATTGCCATTAAAATCGAGCATTAAAGGGAAGCAAAAAATCTACAAATAAAGCTAATTAATTTACAGTCTGATTCTGTCTGAAGTCTGAAGATTCGAATTTACAAATGTTACTAATATTTATTCCTACTTGTAAAAAGATAAATGCACTTAGTTACGAATGCTTACACTAAGAATAATCATTTTGTTTGTGAATACATGTTTATGTGAACAGCTTCTTTTCACAGGTGAAAATCAATAAGAAAAGAACTCAACTGACCGAGAAGCATCTGCAATCCGTGATGAAGGTAAATTCTAGTATTTTCTTCCAAGTCTGTAAACGTTATCAGAATAGAAACACCATTAAGTGTCTAAGTGCAGTAAGAAATAAAGAAGTTTATGATTATTTACATACAAGCATAGGTATTTTTATTGATGTGCGAAAGAAAAATTTAATGAATAAGAGAAAGAGGCAAGGTTTCATTATTTAGTTCGAGGTTCGAATCCCGCGAACGGGCTGACTGCATGGGCGTTTTCGTGGTTTTCCCCATGTGTAACGTGTATACGAGCCAGTTTCCCTTAGAAAGTCCTCCACGAAAGGCATCCCTCCCCTTAGGCAGATAGCCCTCGTGTGCTTTGCCATAATTAAATACACCAACAACACCATCATTATTTAGTCTAAAGATTTCTCCCTTTGGAAAGTTTTCATAGTTTATTAAGTTTAGGTTTAGTTTAAAGTAAATTACTTAATGATTAATTAAAATATTAGCATATTTGAAATTATTGTCAACCTGAAAATTTAATATTTAGCTGTTCATATACTTGAATTATTAAGTGTAATTAACAGAAATTTCTTGCAGATACATCTTCAAATTTCAGATAAAAAATAAATATACATATGAGTTTTTCTTTTACATTATCTGGTAAGATCCGCGTAACGCTAGAGGGCGCTGAGAGCGTCATTGAGTGTTTTCTGAGACTCGATAGAAGGTGTGACGCAGTGATGATGTGAGATTTCTGAGATTGTGATATTATTATACTCCATTAAATCAATTTATATTTTATTGATTGGTGATTATTGATTTTGATTTATTCATATTTGATGTGATATTATGTTTTTACTCAACCACCATCTATTCGAAACTTGGATTAGCACTGAATCTCCCGGCCAATGCACCAAATGCGCATCATGGAGTTTACAGTTCAGTTTTCAGATATTGAGATAAATTTAAAGTCAATAAAATTATACTAAACTAAATATTAAATTGGTAAATTATTAAATATAAAATAATAGTTTTTCAAGTTCTCATTCAGTCTTTAAATGGTAATGGAATAACTAAACGAAGAACACCTCTAGACGTCTTAACTTCAACCACTCTGACCAGACCATCAGTACCAGGATACACTTGTTGGACGCGACCCAATGGCCATTGCAAAGGATTGGACTTGGAGTCTTTTAGCAGTACCATTATCATTATTATTGTTTACGTATATTTTGATAAATGAACTTTTAGCAAGCAAAATTCTAAATTTATTAAAAATATTTTTATCTTATTAATAAGATATTTCACTTTGAAAAAAATGGCGCCTTAACCGTTTTTAGGCTGAGCATTCGGTTTCTATGCAACTTGAGTTTGAGACCACTGGTTTTAAAATTAAGTTTAATTTTGCCCTTCACAGTAACACTTTGTTTCTCGGGCTTTCCGTCTGTCATAAATGTTTTGTTAATATCTCTAAGGTACATAACTAACTTTTAATTACTATAGAATCCCAAAGCACTAAGAAAGTTACGTCAGTCAGTCATCGAATGAAAATTTGTTTCTCTGCATTATCTGATGTAATAATGCTAATAGGACTGATTATGATAACCGCTGTACAGTAATAGCAATAGAATCGTTCGATCAGACGGTGTTAATTTTTACGGACTCCCACTTTTATCTTACGCACATTATCAATGGATAAAAATTTCTGATTCTAAAAGAAAAAATAGTATATACATGGAAATAAATACATGAAATTAGAAGAGGATTTGTTAAAGATATTTCAATATCAAACATTGCAAATAATAGTAAAGGAATATTTTCAGGAATATGAATGAAAAACTACAATGAGGATTTTTAGATACGATGTTGCTTAGAAGTGGATTGCTGCCCTAAAAATCTAACCGAATCACGAGTGCAATAAAATAAATTCATTAAAATTGAAAAGAAAATACATGCACACAACCGCTCGAAATCTTTTGGTGAGGAATTGACTTATGCAGTTTTCGAGCCTAAATCTTACCTCATGACACGGCGTTGGCCCCCAGGGATAAAAGGAGCGATAGAGATCCTTAATTCAGATTTTGACATTTCTGCCACCTTCTTTTAGAATTGTAAAAGGTTTAATTACCCACATAATTTAAAATTATTTACGAGAATTTAAAGTATATTATATGTTTCTATGTCTTTGAAGAGGAAACCTCATCAAGTTTGCTAAAAATTAAAGCAATGGAAGGAGAAACCCAAGCATTATTTTTTCAATTCTTTTCTCTGTTAAACTGTGACTTTCAACCAGATCGTAATGCTTTACATATACGGTATATAACGCGCATCGATGTATAACGCACACCCACGAAGAAATCTAAAAGATACATCTGTTCTATCTTTTGAGGTTACTTATTCGAACATTTGTCTTAGCCTTTCGAACATTGGTAAAGTGCATTGACAAACGATAAGGGGAAGAATATGCATGGGAGTTAAATGTTTGAGGAAGTAAACATTCCGGCAAAGAGGGTGGATTGTATTCAATGCAAATGTCTAAAAGAATGCTATTGTAGAGCAATTCGAACCTGAATGAATTCGTGGAATTGGAAGTTAGATGTTTTCTCTTCCTGTGAAGTTTTGAAGTGAAAATTGAAGGCTTTTGTAAATCGCACTTGCTTTAGTTGAAATACAGTTGATCTAGTGCTTGTTTTAGTAATAAATATGGCTCCCGCGAAATGAAATGAACAACGTGCTGGTTTCAAATGCAAAGTCACTCATTTTGTGAAAGAAACCAGAAATCGTGCTGCAGCAAGAATGTTTGGTGTTGGTAAAAGATAGAACGGATAATGATTATTTATTTTTGGATTAAAATATCAGTGATGACGCAGATAAAAAAAATCGATGATACGCTTAAAGAGATAACGGAAGACGATCATGACGAATTCTTCATGTTATGCGATACGGAAATTTTTTAATTTCATAAAGCATGCCATTTATTTTAAATAAGTAACATTTTAGTGCATGTAAAAATCTAACGTTTTCCTTAGTTTAAAGCTATAATTTTTATATCCGGCGTATAACCCGTTTTATGCCGGAATATATGGTAACTGAAACAATATGATAAGAACATGGTTAAGAAGACAACAGAAGCTTCTCACCTTCTAAACAAAGCGCTACTACAAGTACCACGATAAAAGAAAGCTGAACGGAATAAAAATTGAGTTTTGTCCAAGAAGCTGCGAAACAAAATAAGATATTGCCAAGAGTGGAGGATAATATTTTGGTACAACAGGAATCCCACAGGACTAATTTGCACCGCGAGAACACGTAGCGGACTATAAATTGCATCAAGAAGGAATCTTCTCCTAACAAAGCCCTTGCTTCGGAAAATACTGAGACTATATTGCAATCGCGGAACGACTTATTGGCTCCGGTGATGTCGGCAATAAGCGGAACATTCCTGGAATGTTCGACGATATTCGTTATCTGAAGAGTATTTCACTTTGGCATCTGGTGCATAGGAACCAAATTGTTACAGCAACTGAAGTGGGGAGAATATTTTCTCTTTGGCAATGAATATTTCGTGACAATGCGCTTGCTTTAGCAAAATATCAGCAAAATTGTGCGTAAATATTGACTAAAAGAACAAAAAAGAGGAAAAAAGGAAAAGTAACATATTAAAAAGAGAACTGAAATTAATATAAAACGAATCTTATTTCTTAAATTACTGAAAAAACATTTCTCAGTTCACATTTATAAAATACATCGGAAAAATTATGATTTCAAGTTTTCTTTCTCGGTTAACAATACATTTTAATTAAGATTTTAAAAATTCCTCGAGAGATGCATTTACTAATGTGATGCGGTTACCATCACTTAACAACGACTACCTCTAAAGTGACCAGTATCTCTTGGAGAATAAATAAACACTGGCATTGAGCATCGTCTCTTTAATCTGTTCCCAGAAGTTCGAAATCATTTGGAAACACGGATGATCGGCTTTGGGAGGATTCTTTAGATTTATAATTGAGATGAAATTATTTTTTACTTCGTTAATAACAAAATATATTTGCGGTTATTACATAAATGTCTGCATTAACAAAAGTGAAGTTATACAAATTTGTATGAAATTAGATTATAAACATAACAAAAAAAATCAAATTTTTAACAATAGCATTTTTGTTTTCCTCAGAGGAAGAGTAAAATTATCTTAAACATCCTCAGCCTTTGAATGCTGAATTTTTTCTATTGGCCAATGCACATTATATTTTTGGTTCAGCTGAAAAGAACAGAATAAAAGTTACCTTAAATAGGTTTAATTTTAAAATACAAAGCTTTTGACATATTCTGTTTATATTTTATTTCTTCATATGTATTATTTCTTCATATATAAAAATTATGATAAGATAAAATGCGAAAGTATTTTTAATAATTTCATTTATCTATTAAATAACTTACGTATATTAATCAAGAAGAAAGCTTGAAAACATGCAGCCGTAATGGCACATTTTACTCAAACATTTGTTGCCTGAACCCTGATCGATATTTATAGCCACATTACATGTATAGACTGTAATTCGACGCAGTAAAATTATACATGATATATTTCAAAAATTTGTTTTAAATTTCGCTATTCTAAACGTTTTCAACAACTAATGTTATTAATAGTAGACGTAGTCACTAATACTAAGCTGGTTCATCAGTAATAGCTATTAATCATTCATCATTATTTTACTATGCTTCATTCATTTAAAAAATATAAATTAGTTTGATGTTATGGCGTAAAATGTTTATATGACATATTTAAAAATTTTGTTTAGAATTTCATTGTGTAAGAATTATTCTGAAAGTTAATTTAGTATTTAGTCTACAGCAACATTTTTCATTAAATATCTATTAAGCAGCTTTATCAGTAATTTTTAATAACTATTTATCATTATTTCTTTATGGATAATTTATTTAGTAAGCTATAAACTAGTACTATACTAGGAGAAAACAATATAAACATTACATATTTGAAAATTGTATTAAGAAATTCGCTGCAAAATTTATGCAAAAAACAA